CCCCCTCCTCTTTTTACAGGGCCCACACCAATTCCAATGGCGGGCACATGTACTCCCACGAAGGATTGTCCGCCCGTTCATGTTGTTGTTGTTGTTGTTGTCAGTATGAGTGTGAGTGTGATTGTGGTTGTTGTTGTTGTTGTTGCTGTTGTTGATTGTTGTCGTCCCCCTTCGACCCGCCCTGCAACCCACCCGCGACCCACCTCGCGACCAACCCCGCGACCCACCCTGCGACCCAGCCCGCGACCCACTCCGTGACCCACCCCGCGACCCACCCGCGACCCACCCGCGACTCACCCCGCGACCCGACCGCGATCCACCCGCGACCCCACCCGCGACCCACCCGCGACCCACCCGCGACCCAACCGCGACCCACCCGCGACCCACCCACATTGCTTTAACGAAAAAATCTGCGTCTTTGGCGGGATCACTGCATAATTTGTAAAAGTTAGGCGCCTGCGACGGGCTTCTTTAGAGCATCGAAGCTGACGTCCTCGCCGCCTCCTTACTCTTATCCGGAACTGCGGGGTGTGCGCAGAAGCTGGAGGTTTCATTCGTTCAGTGCGTTGTAGGCGCTTCCGGCGCCGCCCCTGGCACGCTCCGCGCGCCAGGGAGGGGGACCCGGCGCGGATCCACGAAATCCGCGCGGAGCACCAACAATTTATGTCTGTGCGGTTTTCTCCTTCGAACTTCATAGGCCCCGCTCCAACGCGGCACGGTGCACAGTTCTTCGGCCCCGAGCGCTGACAGCCTGTGGACCGTGCACCGTTCCTGGGCAAAGGAGCGACGACGCCTCCTCCGTTCCTAAGCCCGCCGCCCCTCGCAAAGAGAAAGAATCCCTCCGAAGGGGGTGTGAACGAAGACAAAAAAGGACGGGCATCGAGGGTGTGGGGAACTCGTTTTGAACGACACACGGGCAAGTAAGATCGAGCTTGGGTTCCAACGTGGGTTTGTTAGTATAGAGAGGGTCATGAAACAAACGTTGCAACACATATCCTGCGTATCTGTGCATATGCGGTCTGGCAGATCGGGGCGGCATCATCGCGACGCCAAGGGGCGTCGCGGACTCGAGCCTTTGGCCTGGAAGCACGAAGCGCTCGATCATCGAGCAGTCTTATAGTGATCGGCGATCGACGCCTCCGGAGGCGCCGGCGCGGCACGGTGCACACGCACGCCGCCCACGGCTCGCCGTGCGGATCTCCGGCACCGCACGGCTCTGGGGCCTCCTCGGAGGCCCCCATTCGCCCGAGACGTCCTCGGAGAACGGCCCGAGCCTCAAAGCCGCGCGGCGGCACCCGCGGAGCCACCAGACAGAAGGGTCACCACGCCGCCGTGGGGCCCCTTCTGTCCTCCTCCTCCTCCTCCTCCTCCCTCCTCCTCCTCCTCCTCCCTCCGCCTCCGCCTCCTCCTCCTCCTCCGCCTCCTCCTCCTCCTCCTCCTCCTCCTCCTCCTCCTCCTCCTCCCTCCGCCTCCTCCTCCTCCAGCGGTGGCAACGTAACAGCGGCCCCCCACTGACCCGAGGGCCTCCCCCAGAGGTCTCGCGCGGACCAGCGCGCGCATAATTATCCCTTTGGCGTTGGCCGACTCTGGGTCACAACCTGCGGCCACTGGCGGCGCGCACCCATTGGCCTGGTTCGCCTGGGCGTTGTTTTTAGCGTTTTCAGCTCGACGTCTTGGAAATCCGTTGTTTAGCGTTGTCAGGCCTCAACAAAAAAACTAAAAATGCAAAAACATTGATGCGGTGGTGTAGCGTTTCCAGACAATGTGTTAGCGCTTCCAGACTGAATACGTAGTGCAACGCACCAAACAACACCAAAGCAACGGCCCTGCAACAACTAAAACATCGTAGCGTTGCTTTAGCGCTTTCAGCCTGTCAAGAGCCCCAAGTAGAACACCGTGAAACCAAAAACGTTCAGGACGCTTGTAAGGCGAACCAGACAAATTTGGGGTCGAAAGATGGTACAGTCGGGGCTTTGACCTATGGAACCTTAAAAAGGAACGAGGCCCCTTGATCCCAAGAACTAATCTTCGATTTCTCATCGAAAAAATCCGGAAGACCCAAACCATACTGTAAAAAAATCACGGCACACCGAGCTCCTCCCCAACGACAAGGGTTGCTTCTTCAGCGCCCCGACGGTATGGACGTGCCGCGGCTCGGGCCGCATCGTGCCAGCGTCGAAACCCGCCTCGGATCGGGTGCGCCCAGGTGCGCAGCAGCGCCATGCAAGCACGCACAGGGCCGCATCGGCTCCTCAGGACATCGAAATCCAAGGAGATCGAGCCAGCCAGAACCGATATCGAACCGGATTGATTCATTGGCGGCGCGCACCAGAAGAGTGGCGTGAGGGGAGACGACTGGGTGGGCTACAATGCCGGCTCAGGGGTGGAGACAACCACCTGGAAGCAGCGCTACATCGCTGGGAAACGAGGCGAATCCAGCCGTGGCGACAGGGAAGCACAGAACAGGCCCAAGACGACGAACAACTTGGATCGTCGAACCTCGATCGGAGGAACGAACGCACATGCCTCGGACCTCCCCGAAAAGTGTACCGACAAGCCCTCGCACGGCTAATCTGTCTCGGATAACAAATCACTTCAACTCGCGGATTTGCTGTCTCGATCGGCGGCTCTCCCCAGCTTGGCACCCCCGCGTGGGTCCACAAAAATCATGGGCACGATGCCCACCAGCAGATGATATCCCAAAAACCGACGGCGGGCGCTGCTGGGCAGTCACAAACTCTTTGTCTCAAGTGGACCACTTCCCCAGGACCTGCTTCGTCCTCCATCGTTCCTTGACCTCCTCCTCCTCCTCCTCCTCCTCCTCCTCCTCCTCCTCCTCCTACTCCTCCAACTTCTTTCCACTCACCCCGCTTGCGAGAGCCCCCGAAACAGCACGCCACGAGGTCCTCAGAGGCCCCGGAGAAGCCCAAAGCAAGCCCCACGAGGCCCCAGGACCCCAGGACGGCCCCCAAAAGGCCCCAGAGCTGCCCCCAGACCTCCTCCTCCCTCCCCCTCCCCCCTCCCCCCTCCCCCTCCTCCCTCCTCCTCCTCCTCCTCCCCCTCCCTCCTCCTCCTCCCCCTCCTCCCCCCCCCTCCCCCTCCTCCCCCCTCCTCCTCCTCCCTCCTCCCCTCCTCCTCCCCCCCCTCCTCCCCCCCTCCTCCTCCCCCTCCTCCTCCTCCTCCGCCCGAGGCCCGGCGAGGGCCCCCAGGAGGCCGCGAGCGGCCCCCGACGCCGGACGCGCCGGTCTCTGCCGGAGCACGGGCTCTCTCTGGGCCTGGCCCCCCTTGGGCGTGGCTTCATGGGGGGGTCGCAAATGGGGGGGTCAGAAACGGTCCCCTTTCGTGCCCCTTTCGGGCCCCTCCGGAGCCCCAGGGGGCTCGTTTAGGCACCGTTTGGGTACCTTTTCGAACCACCCTCGCCACCCCCCCATTTATGACCCCCCCATTGCGCAACGCCCAACCCCCGCCCCGCTCCGCGGTGCCGGCTCCCGACGATCCCGGGGCCGCAGGGGGGCCCAGAGTCGAGAATCGACGAGTCGGATCGGCGATCGAAATGAGTTGGATCGGCAGAGATCGGCAGCCGAGTCGGGAAAGGCCGAATCGGCGGAAATCGGCGGGCCAGCATGCGTCCCATAATACATCGGAGCCCAAATCGGAATCCAAAATCGAATCGAATCGGAATCGGAATCCATCGGAGTCGAATCGAATCGAATCGGAGGATTCGAAACGAGCCCTGGGGCCGCGGAGCACGGCCAAAAGTCAGAGCTTTTGCACTTTTTGCTTTCGGGAATTGCGGGATGCAGAGATGGCTACCTACCAGACCACACCAGCCCAACCCGAAGACATGCATTTCGGGTCGGGGGGGGGTATGGGCTCCATATGTGTCTGTTCGATGTTCCCGGACCCCCCCACACTGGAAATGGAGGGCAACTTGAGGCCTTCGGGTTGGGTTGGGGTGGTTTGGTGGGTGGTGAAAAAACGCCCCCACCCTGGGTTACAAGTGTGTGGCCTGCAAACCTCCTGGGAGCTCCCAGAGGCCAGAGGGCCGCCAGGACGCCGCGCGACCTGCGCGGTGTGCAGGGCTCGCCCCGTCAGCCCACGGGAGGTCCAGCGCACAGCGCCTCGTGAACCGGTGCAGGGGCGTTTTGTTCTACGCTTTGCAAGAAGCTGCGGCTACAGTCGGGGCGTTGACCTAAGGAACCCTAAATAAGGAACGAGGCCTCTTTTTCCCATAAGTTAAACTTCGATTTCCCATCGAAACCCTATGCAAAAACCATAGGCGAACTGCAAAACAAGTAAGGAACACCGAGCCCCTCCCCAACGAAAAGGGTTCCTTCCTCAGCGCCCCGACTGTACACGCAGGAGTGACCCAGGGCAAGAGCGACCTTTGGTGCGCGACTTCTTGTGGGGGCCGCGGGGCGACCAAACCTGGGCGCGCAAGCCGCTGCTACTGCCTCGATTTTAGCCGTCTGGGGATCTGGGGACCCACCTGTTTTTTTCCGATGAAGACACAGCAGCTGAGGGCCCCTTAAACGCGACCCCGGGGGCGAGGAGCCACCCAGACTTTCGGCGACAGCCGAACGCCTTATGCACACTATGGTACCAGTCCTCTACTCAAAAGCGTTCTGACAGAGCCCGCACCAAAGGCCACTCCGGCGAGAAGTCAGTCTTGCGTCTGGTCGAGAATGGCCGATAGGGGCCACGGGGGGAGGGCACCAGCTCGGAGGGAGAAGCACGTCGCGGGGCCCAGACCCCCGACGTAATGTTTTTTTCATTACGTCGACCCCCAGAGGTCCCGACCCTTTCCCCATGACCGGCTTTACATCCTGAGTCGTTTCTTGACGCTCCCGAGGCCCGGTGAGGGCCCGCGGAGGCCGAAAGTCAGGAAAAACCTCCCGTCATGATTTTTTCATTGCTCGAGGGGGTCGCGGGGAGACATAGAAAGCCTCGCCCTCGCTCGGGCGCGTGCACGTCTCCATGCCGGCGGCGCCCCGGGGGTCCTCGGGCGGGGCGGCCGGCGGCGGGGGCTCGGCGGCGTCGGGGTCGGCCGTCGGCACGGGCTCGTCGACGCGCAGGAGGGCCAGCTTCGCCGCCGCGGCCAGGGCCTCGAACTCCTCCCGCGGAGAGTGGGCGGCGCCGCCGGTCCTCCTCCTCCTCCTCCTCCTCCTCCTCCTCCTCCTCCTCCTCCTCCTCCTCCTCCTCCTCCTCCTCCTCCCCTCTCGCTCGCGCAGCTGCCGTGCTCCCGAGCTCGGAGCCCTTCCTGCTCGGCGGCGTTCGGTCGTGCGCTCGTCGCCCCCCCACCACCACCCCTTACAGGGCAGCTTTTGATCCACAGGATTTGTTTTAATATAGGATGTTTAATACATGATTCATGTAGGAATAAGTTTATGCATGACTCATCGATTTTTTTAATGTATAAAAAACGGCACTGTAGGTGCCCCTGCCCCTGCCTCCTCGTTCTGGGTCATACTGGCCCTGGGAGAGCACCAGGACGAGGGACGGGGGGAGGGGGGGGAAGGGGGGGGACAGGCAACTGTCCGTTACAGTGGGAGCTCGACCAGAGGAAACCTTCCACAAGAAACCCAACCCTGAGACCCCACGACGTCCATTGATTCTTCGTGTGGGAACGGCACGCATTCCTCGGCAAAACCATGGGAACCTCAGAAACCCAGGGCACCCTGGTGGCAAGCAGGGAGCTTCTTGGCATGGGCTTCCTCTATAAAAAGCTTCTGCGGGGGGAGGGGCGCGTCGGGGCGGCGTTGCGCTGCGATCACCAGAGTGCGCGTGCGCACCAGCACGCGATGGGGGCACTGCCCGAGGTGGAGAAGGCCTGGCCCAAGCGGCCACGACCGCTCCGCGCCAGAGGATGGCAGCGCCGCCTCGTGCGCCCCCTGCGGCTCCGCGTGCGCAGAGCGGCCGCGCTCACACCCGGGCCGGCCGAAGCTGACAGCGCAGGCTTCCCTATACTCGCCATCGCTCGGACGTCCATTCCCTGTGTTTTTGTCGGTTTCGTGCGTGGTTTCTTCGCCAAATGATCAAGGATGCTCCTCGATGGCCCTCGCCGAAGGAAAAATGCACACGTCCGAGCGATGCCAAGTATATTGTCAGCCTCTGAGGTGAGCGCCCCCCCCCTCGCCATCTGCTGGGGGTCCGCGCGGAGTTCTCGGAGCTGCGCTGCGCCCCTCGGCGGCGCCCCCCTGGCCCGCCCCCCGGGCGCGCCCAGGGAGGGGGGTGGCCTGGCGCAGGTCCAAGGGATCCGCGCGGACCTCCTAGCGGCTACAGTCGGGGCGTTGGCCTAAGCAGCCCGAAATGAGGAACGCGGCCCCTTTTTCTGTCCACAAGTGAAACTTCGAATTCCGATCGAAAACCTAGGGAAAACCCAAGGCGAACTGCAAAACAGCGAGGGAGCACTGAGCCCCTCCCAAACGAAAAGGGCTCCTTCTTCAGCGCCCCGGCTGTATATGTCTATGCAGCTGCTCTACTCCAGAGGGAAAGGCGTTAGGCTCGAGCTGGAGCAGCGGGGTGCCGTCCGAAAGAGGGACCTGGCATGGTCTGAGATTTGATGCGGGCTCTCGCTGCAAACAAACACCTCACGGAAACGGAAGCTGTCCAAGAGGGGGGCGTCCAAAAGGGGAGGCAACAGTGCGCCCCATGGCCAGAGGCACGCGCGCGGCCCCGCGGGGGGGGAGCAGAGGACGTGTCGACGTGAGAAAAACCAGGGGGCACGAACTCCAGGGAGATGCTTCACAGCCCTGGCCATGACATCCACCCCCCCCCCTCAACCCTCATCCCCCTCATTGTCGCCCAAGACGCCTCACGAAAACTGGATCGGCGCCCCTCCAACGGGGACTCCACCAACGGGTACCTTGGCCAGTGGCCCTGGCGAGCACAGACCCTCCCCGATGTGGGCAGCGCTGCAATGCCAGAAAGAGGCCCTACAACGGCAACTTTCGGCACGTCTCCATAATTAGTACCCGTTTAGGGAGCCCACAAAGGACGTACGCGCCCAGCTATGTACATGAACACGGCCCCTCGATTCGCGAGACCGGCCGCGTTATACGAACATTTGTGCAATGCGTGCTCTCGAAACCAGCGTGGATTCATGTACATGTACGTCCTTCTTTCGCTCCTGACCGTTACGGTGCCGCTGAGCGCGACTGCAGACGTTCACGCCCGGACCGCTCGTCGGCGGCGCCCCGACGGGCGACGTGGGAGGGGCCAGAGGCCTTCTCTCGGAGGGCGGCGGGGCTTCTCCGACGCCCCGCGGTCTGCTTGAGGAGCCACCCGTGGCCTCTCGGACTATAAGGCAAGCTCCTCAGGAGGCCAGAGCTCGGTGGACCCTGGAAGAGAGCATTGCGGCACATTTGTGGACCACCTCCGTTTTGCAGTCCCGACTGCGGATTCTGGCGCCGCTTGTTCCTCGGCTCCGTCGCCGTGTTCGTCCCTGCCCTGGTCCCGGCGCCATGTGCCTGCCCAGTTTCCGAGGAGATCTCGGCTTTCCATAACCGGCTCGGGGCCCCGGAGACAGTTTTCGAAAACTGCAAAACATGTTGGGCATCTACTAACACAGATCAAAACAAACCCTGGTCAGTCACGCTTTGCAGGAGCCCGCAAGATTCTGCAAGGTCCTGCACGCCAGCCCGGGTCAGTGTAAAGTGCAACCATGGCATTGCAGGATCCTGCAAGACACAGCGCTCTGGCTGATTTCCATTTGCATTGACCCCCGTCTCAAAACCCTGCTTGGGGGATAATTGCAAGAGGTACCGATTTCGGTACTCCCTGGACCTCTCCCGGGGTGCGTCCTGACCAGGCTTTCAAGGCGGATCCAGCCGTGGCGACGAGGGCCTCCGAGGAGGTCCGAAGAGGGGAAAACAGGCGAAGGGGCAGCGGCATAGGTAATCTCCCACGGCTCCCGCGCAAAAGCGAAGACACAAACACGGAAAAACACAAGAACCGCCCCAGCTGCCGACTTCTGGGGCCCGCTGCAGGCCAGAGGCCCGCGCAAAGAAGCCGCCAGCCGGCCCTCGCTCGGACGCCCATTCCCTGTGTTTTTTTCCGGTTTCGTGCGTGGCTTCTTCGCCAAATGAGAAAGGATGCTCCTCGATGGCCCTCGCCGAAAGGAAAATGCACACGCCCGAGCGATGCCAAGCCAGGGGCCGCCTGCCGCGGCCGGAGGCAGCCGCGGCCGGCCGGGCCCGCGGCGGGGGCCCCGGCCGCGCTCGGGCCCGGGCCCCGCGCGCCCCTGGCCATCGCTCGGACGTCCATTCCCTGTGCATTTTTCGGTCTCGTGCGTGGTTTTTTCGCCCAATGATCAAGGATGCTCCTCGACGAAGGAAAAATGCACACGCCCGAGCGATGCCAAGCCAAGGCGGCCTGCCGCGGCCGGAGGCAGCCGCGGCCGGCCGGGCCCGCCGGCGGGGGCCCCGGCCGCGCTCGGGCCCCGGGCCCCGCGCCGCCCCTCGCCGAGCGCGCCGCTCCTGCAGCAGCTGCCCGCTCTCCTCCGAGGCGTCGCCGAGCTCCTCCACCGCGGCCTCCCGGGGCGGGGCCGGCGTGCGGGCGGAGACGTAAGAGGAGGAGGAGGAGGAGGAGGAGGAGGAGGAGGAGGATGGGAGGCGGAGGCGAAGGAGGAGACGGAGGAGGAGGAGGAGGAGGAGGAGGAGGAGGAGGGAGGATGAGGAGAGGAGAGGAGGAGGGGGGCGGGGAGGAGGAGGGGAGGAGGAGGAGGAGGAGGAGGGAGGGAGGAGGAGGAGGAGGAGCGAGGAGGAGGAGGAGGAGGAGGAGGCGGAGGAGAGGAGGAGGAGGAGAGGAGGAGGAGGAGGAGAGGAGGAGGGGGAGGGGGAGGGGGAGGGGGGGGAGGGAGGAGGGGAGGAGGAGAGGAGGAGGAGGAGGAGAGAGGAGGGGAGAGGAGGAGGAGGAGGAGGAGGAGGAGAGGAGGAGTAGGGGGGGAGGAGGAGGAGGAGGAGGGAGAGGGAGGAGGAGGAGGAGGAGGAGGAGGAGGAGGAGGATGGAGGAGGAGGAGGAGGAGGGGAGGGGGAGGGGGAGGGGGAGGGGGAGGAGGAGGAGGAGGAGGAGGAGGAGGAGGAGGAGGAGGAGGAGGAGGAGGAGGAGGAGGAGGAGGAGGAGGAGGAGGAGGAGGAGGAGGAGGAGGAGGGGAGGAGGAGGAGGAGGAGGAGGAGGAGGAGGAGGAGGAGGAGGAGGGGGGGGAGGAGGGGAGGAGGAGGAGGAGGAGGAGGAGGAGGAGGAGGAGGAGGAGGTGGAGGAGGAGGAGGAGGAGGAGGAGGAGGAGGAGGAGGAGGAGGAGGAGGAGGAGGGGGAGGAGGATGAGGAGGATGAGGAGGAGGAGGGTCCCGCGCGGCTCTCCGCGGCTCTCGCGCGAGCGCCTCGAGGAGGCGTGCGCCAGCGGCGGCGCCGCGCCGCGAGCGCGTCCGCGGTGCCCCAGGTTTCGCCCCGATAGCGGCCGCGGGAGAGCCGAGAGAGGGGGGACCGAAAAATGCCACCGGGCGCCCGAGAGGGGGCGGGCCTCCTCAGAGGGCTCGGGGGTCGCCCCGATCGGCCCGGGCCGTCCGTACGGTACCCCGGGGGTCGCCCCGAGCAGCCACTGGTGGAGAGCCGAGAGGGGGGGCCGAAAAATGCCACCGGGCGCCCGAGAGGGCGCGGGCCTTCACTCAGAAGGCTCGGGAGCCCGCAGACCTCGAGAAGACTCGTCAGAAAAAACAACGCTCCAGAACGCTCCAGGCCTTCTGAGGAGACTCGTCTCGAGGCGTTGTTTCACGCGCCTGGGCGTTGTGTTTCTGCCTTCCGAGAAGTTCTATAGAAGACTTCCCCGGAGACACGGGGAACTCCGCAGAAGGCGCGATGGCCTCTGAGAAGTCCCGCCGCCCTCCGAGAGGGCCTTCGCCTTCTCCTTTTCCCCCTCTCGATCACCGCCGACTGGAGGGGTGGGCGTCGCTTCCGCTGCGCAGGGTCCGCTGGCATGGCCCACCCAGGATTGGGGGGGCGCCGGTTCGTCGCCGAGCCAAATTGGAGCCAGTAGGGCCGCAGCCTCGGGGTCCCTGCCAAGGGGCCCTGGCGCACAGGGGTCGCCTCAGGGCCCTGCTGCCAACTCGAAGCCTCGCACATCGAGGTCGAGCCCCAGCTCGCCGCCGAGCTCCTCCATCCGGGCTTCCTTGTGACCCACTGGCACGGCGCTTCCCGCCCCAAATCGGGCCCTGGGGGGAGGAGGGCAGCCGCCGAGGGAGCCGCCCGAAGGCCTCGAGAGCCCTACTACCCCCACACACTCGAGCACCTGGCGCCGACCCTCCCCTGCAATTGCCCGCACGGCGACCGGCACGCGGGAACCTCGAGCCTTCCCCCCCCCCCGAGCGTTGCCGCAAGTACCGTCGGAGCGTTGACCTCAGGAACCCAAAATAAGGAACGAGGCCCCTTTTTTTCCATGGGTTAAACTTCGACTTCCCGTCGAAAACCTGAGGAAAACCTGAGGCAAGCTGTAAAACAATCAAGGAACACCGAGCCCCTCCCCAACGTAAAGGGTTCCTTATTCAGCGCCCCGACTGCAGAGGCCTCCTACAGGGGTCCCAGTAGACGGGGTCGGAGGATCTCGCCGCACCGCCCACACCTCGCCAGTGCATCGCCGATGCATCGGCGATGCACCGGCGACGTCGGCTATGCATCGGCGCCGTCGGCGCGGAGAAAAGCGGGCCCCACATCGAGCCGCATCGCCGATGCGGCGCCGATGCGGCGCGATCCTCCGACCCCATCTGCTCGAAACCCATCTGGGAGGCCCAATGAGAGCGAGGGGACGGGAGGAACAAATTTCCTCTAATACCGAGAAAATGCATTTCTCAAGTCTCCATCTGATATTGAAGTGCGCTTTCTCGTCGTGCTCCCACCCTATTTCGCGTGTCAAGAGCTCTACGAGGGTCCCGGCGGAAACCTGGTTGACGGTTTACCGCCGGCTCCCAGGTAGAGCGAGGGGAGGGGAGGGGGGGGGGCAGCTCGGGCCCCTCGCGCCGTGGAGCGGAAAGATCACGCCGGCATGTGGCCGTTCTCTCCAGGGCGCGAGCCACGCCGTGCATCTCGTGTTGCTTCTGGTCTCGTTTTCCCGCTCCTCCTCCTCCTCCTCCTCCTCCTCCTCCTCCTCCTCCTCCTCCTCCTCCTCCTCCTCCTCCTCCCCTCTCTCTCTCCTCCTCCTCCTCCTCTCCTCCTCCTCCTCCTCCTCCTCCTCCTCCCCCTCCTCCTTCTCCTCCTCCTCGCCCCTCGTGGATCCCGACGCAGGGCCGCGGATCCGCTTAGGCCGTTGGGGGCGAGCGCGAGCCCGTGCGGGCTGGCGAAGGGCGCGCGACCTCTGCGCTCTGTCTTCGTTGCACCTCCGCTGCAAAACGAAACCCACATCAAAACGACAAAATTGCCCACGGAATCGCCAGAACACCGTGCAGCTCGAGCCGCGCCGGTCTCCGTTCAGGAGCCCTGGGGCCACCCGTTGAAGGGCCCCGGGACCGTCAGGCAACGGTTCGGAGTGAAGAGCCACGGCCCCGGGGAGGGAGCCCGCAGGCCGAAGCTGCCGTCCTCCGTTCGGGAGCCCTGGGCTTGCCTCCCCGTCGCTGGGACCGCCAGCACCGCCGAGAGCGGCTCGGAGGGGAGAGCTGGCCCCGGGGAAGGGGCCCCCTGCCCGGGAGGGCCCGCGCTGCGGACACGACGACACGGCGGCGGGCGTCACTGGCCATCGCTCGGACGTCCATTTCCTGTGTTTTTTAGGGGGTTTCGTGCGTGGTTGCTTCGCCAAACGATCAAGGATGCTCCTCGATGGTCCTCGCCGAAAAAAAATGCACACGTCCGAGCGATGCCAAGGCAGGAGAGGCGGGTTGGCGGGTGGGCCTGCGAGGCTACGGCCTGCCCGGCGCAGACGTGCTGCGGAGAGGGAGAGGCGCCCCGCGGCGGGACCCTTAAATAAAATCAAACCTGTCCCCCTACAGGCCGATTTTGGACGAAGCATTTTTTTTACAAACAAAAAAACCCTAACAATACTCAAAAATGGTCAACCAATAGTCCCCAGACTGTTTGTTGACCTATTTCTGCAAAGTCCCCCCCCCCGTAGAGGGACACTCCCGACTCAAAACCCTTGGTGGCAGGCGATCATGGGAGCAGCGCCGACAGGGGGCCGGCCACACCCTTCCCCGACGCCCCTCTGGCTGGCCCCGCGTGCGGGAGCCGCGTGGCGACGCCCCCCCCCTCCCCTCGGGGTGCTGCCGGAGGTGCCCCCCTGGCCCAGGGTGCCCCCGGGGTGCTCCAGGGAGGGCCCCTCCACTGCGAGGCGGGGACTGGTCCACATCCGCCGCCCGGGAACCGACGCCCGGGTGCCCGAGCAACCGGTGGATAGATGGATACGTTTCGGCTCCCGGGGGCCCGAAGATGTCCGTTTTGGGGGGCCAGATGTGAGCCCTACCCCTACCTCCCACGATTTCTGAGGGGGAGGGTGGGCTTCGCTTCGCTCGGGAGCTCTCGAGCGAAGGGAACCCCACCCTCCCCCTCAGAAATCGTGGGGGCAGGGGTAATCCGAAAGCCCTTATAACGGCGACGAGGCGACGATCGAAAGCAGTGCCCCGGCACTGCTTTGAACGCGTTCAAAGCAGTGCCCCGGCACTGCTTTGAACGTATGATATGATGATATGATGATGATTATGATTGATGATGATGATGATTTTTCCAGCGTACACTGTCCGCAACTGCGGCAATCAACATCATGCTCCACTTGCCCGCAACTGCGGCCATCACCAACGCTGCCCCTCGAAGCTCCGCGGAGGGCGCTCGGCAGGTCGCCCGCTCGAGCCCCACTCGACTTCACGCTGAGGAGGCGAGCCCTCAGGGGCATTGTCCGCAACTGCGGCATGATCAGAGGGCCACCACTGCGCGCCATCAGCGCCCCATTCGCTCGAGCTCCAGTCCCACCAGGACCAGCCCTGCCATCTCGTGGCGGGACTGCGCGCCTCCCATGCGCCGCTGCCGCTGGCGTCCCAGGACCCAGCCGCCACTGCGGCACAAGAAGGGGTCGCATCGTCGCCGTTGGCAGCTTGCGGCGGTGGCGTGTTCCCAGCTCGCTCAGCCCCAGCGTCTCTCCCCGCAACTGCGGTTCCCATCTGGGGTCGGACGCCCTTCCCCGCAACTGCGGTGTCCGCGTAGCTGCCCTTCTTGCCGCCCTTCTTGCCGCCCTTCCTGCCGCCCTTCCTGCGTTCCAACCTCGCGGCGAGTCTTTCAGGTGACCTGCGGCACGTATTGTGCGTGAAAGCCACCAGAGGGAAGTGCGCTCCGTGCCTCGCCCTGCCGAAGGCGCCATGCCATATCTTGTCGTCGAGGTTGCCCTGCTTCACTCTGAAGGGATGGCGCACCCAATCGTCGCGTTCCCTGCGCGCCATCCTTTGCTCGAACTCCGCAACTGCGGTCAAGGATTCGCCAGATGGCGTCAGGAAGGCGCGCATCTTGTTTTCAACGGGCTCAGCCTTGGGCACGTAAGTCTGAAGCATCTTCCCAGGGCCAT